TTGTTGTAGTTGTCATTGTTGTTTAGCAGGCCCCGGCTGGGCTCGAACCAGCCAGCTCCAGTGTATGTGGGCAGCGCCCTAGCCCCTAAGCTACAGGTGCAGAGCCAACACAGCCTGCATCTTAAGGTTCGTGGGCAACTCAGGAAGACCTCAGCCCCTGAAGACAATGAAACCAACTCACCAGTCCCAGCCTATCTACCTCCAGGGAGAGAAATAAACTTGTTTTGGGTTTTCTGTCACATTGCCACAAACCTAAACATAACTCCCTTCAATCCCTCTGCAATAGACTGCCAAGTTGTCATCCTGGTTAGGCTTGAACTCCTCTAGCACCAGGGAGACCGCTCCCTCCTGAAGCTGTCCATTCCCTGCTTGGGCAGATCTGGCTGCCTGTCTTTATGCTGAGTGAAATTCTGTTTCCCAGCAGCTTCCACACACTGGTTCCAGTTCCACCCTCTGGTCACATATAAAACAAATCTGATTCCTTCTCCACAGGAAATACCTTCAGCTGGTGAATGCAGTTCTCATGCTCCCATCTGTCTTCAGCTTAATCTTCTCTAGCTCCTTCAATCACTCCTCATACGTGCATGACACAGTTTCACGTACTCTACACCACTCCCTCTGCTCCCCTTTGAACACTTCCAGTTCATCTATTATTGCCCTTTGAAATGGAAATGCTCAGAATGGAAAACGATATAATTGCAGTAAGGTGTGACTAACACCAAGGACACAAGACGGTGCTCTTCTTTGACCATCATCTACTCCTGTAACACAGCCTGGAATCACCTGCCTCTGCTGGAAGTCACTACAAACTACTGGTTCACCTTGAGTTATCATCTAAAACCACTAAATTGGCCAGGCATGCTGGCTCACACCTGTAATCCTAACACTGTGGCAGACTGTGGCAGACTGAGGCAGACTGAGGCAGGTGGATGACTTGAGCTGAAGAATTCAAGACCAGCCTGAGCAAGAGTGAGACCCGGTCTCTACTAAAAATAGGAAAAAAAAAACTAGCCAGGCATTATGGCAGGCACCTGTAGTTCAGCTACTCAGGAGGCTGAGGCAAGAGGATCACCTGAGCTCAAGAGCTGTGAGCTATGATGCCACGGCATTCTACCCAGGGCATGGAACGAGACTGTCTCAAAAAAAATAAAAACACTAAATCTTTTTTATAATGTCACTTTTTTTTTTTTTTTTTTTTGAGACGGAGCCTCAAGCTGTCC